CCCATTGGCCCCCCTGTTGTGTGAAAAATGGTGGGAGCTAATGAGCCCTTGAATGACTCTGGCCATCTCAGAACACTGATGTATTGGTTGTCTAAGAGCCTTCTTCCTACGTGTAGCAATAATGAAGCTATATAAATGGAAAGTCCTGAAACTTCTAAATTCTTTGCCTGGAGAAGCAGCTTCATGCTGCACATTTAAAGCACAACTGAATTTTTCTTTCAATGGCTGCTTTTTTAACATGGAAAATTTATATTTTCTGTAATATTGATTTCTAATTAATATCTTAGCACCAAGTTCAGCACATTAAAGGCAGGACTGGTATATAAACAAAATCTGAGCGACTCTGTGATAGAATAGGAGTGAGCAGACTTGAGATCTTCCCCGGAGCTGAGGGATACCAGCAAGGGGCGATGGTAGCAGCAATTCATGTGGTTTACTCTAGTGGCCAAAAGCACTGAAAAGGTGTTAGCCCTGCTGCTCTGGCTAGAGGCCAGTGAAGTATTTATAAGATGCTGCCTCTGATTCCTTCTATGAGTCTAAAAGTTTGGGGGAAAGGGGACCTTTCTTTCCAGGCCTTATTCCTTGCCTCTTGAGCAATGATGTGATGTGTCCAGGGAAGCAGCTATCCTTATTTCACCTCTGAATCTGTTTCACCTCAAAGAGGTTATGATTTCCCCTAATGCAATAGCTGGCCATTCTCTTGCTGAATGTGGAAAGTACTTTGGAATCCTATGGCACGAAAGCAACTAAGACAATTTAAAGTCACAACTGTCCACATCATGTGAAAATCAACACTCTTTTCCAAACCAGCAGCTAGAACAAGAAGTTGACTTGAGGATGTTGACTCAATACTGACGGGTAATTTTAGGACCTTTTCTAGGGATACCTCCTGTCTTAGTCCATTCAAGTTGCTAGGACAGAATACTATAGACTGGGTGACTTACAAATACAAATAGTTATTGCTCAGTTCTGCAGTCTGGGTAGTCTAAGATCAAGGTTCCAGTAGACCCAGAGCCTGGTGAGGTCTCGCTTTCTTGCTCATAGATGGTTCTATGTCTTCTCACTGTATCCTCACATGGTAGAAGGGGTGAGAGAGCTTACTGGGGTCTCTTTTAAAAGGGCATTAATCTCATTCATGAGGGCTATATTCTCATAACCTAATCACCTCCCCAGAGCCCCACTTCCTGATACCATCACAGTAATGATTAAGTTTCAACATATGAATTTTGTGGGGACACAAACATTCCGTCTATAGTACCTTCGCATGAAAACTATTTCCAAAATAAGACTTTTTATGTGTACATGGGGACTTACCACAATTCATAAGAAGCCGTATGAGCTGTTGGGCATAAACAGAGCTTTCTTCATCTAGAATCTTCTTAGCTTCCACCTTGCACCATAGCACAGGCTGAAAGCCTGAAACCATGACTGTCTTGGCCAACACAACATTAATCCATGAGAGAGAACCAGAGGGACGAGACAAATCCTGCCATAGAAACCTGCTGCATACCCTCCAGTGACTGCCCATTCTAAAGCCTCTCCATCATCGGCATTCACATGGCTTTTCTTTCCTCTCATTCAAGGCATGTTCATGTTTGCTTTTTAGTGAATAATATTATTTATAATGCTTTTATTACTGTAAATTACTATTATTTGAAAATTTGCTTTCTTTCTGTAAGCCCTTAGAAGAGGTGAATGAAGTAGCCTGACCTCCAAAAACCCACTATACAGAGGTCAGAGTTGGAGTTCAGTGACTTATCAGTCAGGAAACAGAAGGCACACTCATCAGATAAGGTACTGCAGAAGAGCTTTGTAAAGGAATGAGATAGAAAGATGCAAGAAGAAGTAGTGTGAAGTCCACTGGAATTACCAACAGGTAGTACACTAACCACCCTTAGCGTGGTTGCATATACAATCCAGAGCTGTAGAAAAGTGCCCTCCACCCCTCCACATACAGGAGCTATGCCTTTTGGTAGAGAAACAAAGACACTGATAGGGAGGTAGCAAGAGAAATGAAGACCTTGACCATACTCTGCTCCTGCCCTCTCCTGCTGCTGCCCGAGTTGGCTAAATTCAACCAGAAGTCAGAGAGCAAAGGAATCTAGTTGATGCAGTCTATACAGATCAGCCTCCCAGGGCACAGAGCAGGGTGAAGAGGTAGAAACTCTAGCCAAGGGGGCAGATAAAGACCTCCCAGCACAAGTGAGTTATCCAAGTCATTTAACTTACCCCCAGAAAAATGCTTGATGTAAAACAGGCATCTCATGAGTTCCTGCACTACTATAAAGCCCACCAGTAAAACAAATTTGTTGCCACTTTTCACTTCTTATGGATTTTCACAATAGTCCTCAGAGGCCAACAATCACTGTTAACTGCTGTTGTCACCAACATCTTAATGGAAACACACATTCCTAGTGTATATATGTTCCAACATGGTAAGTGGTCTTTTAACTACCTTTTGTCTAGAGCTAGTTTTACAGGCTCTTAATTATTTCCTAATTGTTTACATTTTCCTAATGACGGTGCCTTATTAACTACACATTAAAAGAAAGTTCCATTATAAAAAATTATCAAAAATATAACTTCTTTTTAATGTATGGTTAACAGGGCACTGTCATCAAGGAAAATGTAAACAATTAGAAAATAATTAAGAGCCCGTAAAAGTAGCTCTTGATAAAAGACCACTTAGCATGTTTGGACATATATACCCCAGGAATATGTGTTTCTGATCCACAACATGAATGAACCTGGAGAACATTATGTCAAGTGAAAGAAGTCAGGCACAGAAAGACAAATACTGCATGATTGCACTCATACGTGGAATGTAATAAAGCTGATCTCATAGAAGTAGAGACAAAAACAGACATTACCAGAGGCTGGAGGGTTGGAGAGTTGGGGAAAAGATGTTGGTCAGAGGAGGAATAAGTTCAAGAGATCTATTGTATAGCATGGTAACCATAGTTAATGATGCTATGTTGTATTCTTGAAAAATGCTAAGAGAGTTGATGTTGAGTGTTCTTGCCACAAAAAAACTACTGAGATAATGCACATGCTAATTAGATTGATTTTGCCATTCTACAATGTATATATGCCTCGAAACATCATGTTGCACATAATACATACAATGTTATCTGTCAGTTTAAAATTAACTCTTTAAAGGAAGTTCCATATCTTTGTAATTTCAGACATAATTTTTTTCTGTTTTAAAAATTTTTTTAGTTTACTTTAAGTTCTGGGATACATGTGCAGAATGTGCAGGTTTGTTAAATAGGTATACATGTGGCATGGTGGTTTGCTGTACCCATTAAAACGTCATCTAGGTTTTAAACCCCACATGCATTAGGTATTCAGACATAATTAATTTTATCAATCCTACAGATTTATTAATGGGAACTATTTTTTCTCATTTAAAAAAAATATTTTGGCTGGGCATGGTGGCTCATCTCTGTAATCCCAGCACTTTGAGAGGCTGAGGCAGGCAGATCACTTGAGGCCAGGAGTTCAAGACCAGCCTGGCCAGCATAGTGAAACCCCATCTCTACTAAAAATATAAAAATTAGCCAGGCATGGTGACGCACACCTGTAATCCCAGCTACTCAGGAGGCTGAGGCGTGAGAATCGTTTAAATCCAGGAGGCAGAGGTAGCAGTGAGCCAAGATCGTGCCACTGCACTCCAGCCTGGGTGACAGAGTGAGACTCTGTCTAAAAAAACAAACAAACAAACAATCTCTCCTGCTCTGTTTGTAAGATATTCTCTCTTCTACATTGATGCTTTGCTACATGATTAACTTATTCTCTCTCGTTCTCTCCCTTTCCCGGATAACCTAGGTTAGATGTATCATAGACCGTTTTTTTCTACTACAAATAGCTGTTTGGTGGCTTTACTGAGAAGATCCTTCTGCAACCAAAGCAGGAATATGTCTCCTCTTCTGCCGCATCTTCAATTTTGTTTTAGGGTAAACATCAGGGATATACTATTGATCCTATTTGTAATGTTCAGCCTGGAATGGCCTCATGTAATATGTATTGAGTAATCCTCACTCAAACCCAACTAGATCTGTGCCTTGGCCTGTATTTCTACTTCTGAGAGATTAATATTCTTAGTAGCTAAAAGTAATTTCAATTTTCTCATTGGCAATCCTTTATTCAGTAAAATAGGTCATTTAAGTTGTTACTACATATATATTTTATATATAAACATATATATATGGCATCTATTAAAGCTTCTTTAATTTTAGATTTAAAAGAATTTGGCCAAAAAATATTTCCTCCAGAATTGGCCCTGGAGAAATTAAAAACACCCACTGTGACATTATGACAACTGATGCAATGGGAAAGAGGGAAAGTTTTGGCTTTGGAGCCACAGAGCCCCAGGTTTGAGACCACACTCTCGGGCTAATACTCACTATGAGTGAATGTTATTCAACAAACACAACCCGGGGCCATTCTAGGCTGAAAATTATAGATATCTAACCTCCCAGCTTCTCTAAACTACAACTGGTATAAGAATGCCTGCTTGGTGGGAGAGGTTTATGTTTATTAAAGGGGATAATGTGGGTTCAATGCCTGAGATGTAATACCTACTAGAAGTCAGGACTTTCCCCTTCTGCTTCTCCCCTGTCATCCCACTCACACACCTGTGTTGTCCTCGGTAGGCCCCTGCTCTAGGCCAGGCCCAGGAGCCTGGTGCTCCCAGGATTTTGCATTATTTCATCTCCTGTCTGCACTTCTAGCCCTTTCTTTTTACCCCATTTGTTCCTTCTGCTTTTTCATCTTCCTTTTGTTTTTCCTCCCACATCTATTGGAGCTGACAAAATTGAAGACTCGCCTGTCAAGTAATGTAAATGTGTAAATAAAGCAGAAATAAGATAACAGTGAGTGGTAAAGATTGTGGAAAACTAGGGAATGTTTGCTCTACCGACAAATACTCAAAACATAGTAAGCACACACACACACACACACACACACACACACAAAAAATATATATATATTTTTTTTTATTGAAAATGATTTATTAAAGTCCAATTAGTATGCTTTTCATTTCAAATAATCCATACAGCCTCCAGAAAAATATGCACATGCGTAAAAGTCCAAGTTCATTTCTTTCACTTCCAATATAAAGTATTCTGTATTTTGTAAAAAGTATGTGCAAACACCTTTCTGCTAATTGAGTCCCCACATTCTTTTCACTACGGGTACTTTACAAGTCTGCCCTCTGCTCAAACAGTAACCGTGCACTGATGTCCTCCTTCCTAGACAGTCATTCATCTCCCAGACTTCTTTCTCTCAGACATCCTCCTGACCTGCCCTGACCTGCTTCACCACTGTGTTACTTCACTGGTCACTTGTTACAGCAAACTGATGCAACTACTACTCTACCTGGACAACGTATTAAACAGGTATCACCTAATAGGGCAGCAGCCTATTGGGGTGATTTCTGGAGAATACACAGTAACCAATCACATACTGACACACTCAACCCATTTGCTACAGATGGACCCAAACTAATTGATATGACAATCCTTTATTCACTCAGCACATTTGGTTTCTTTGAATTTTCTTCAATTTTACATTGCAGGTGTGGCTACCAAGAGCTGGATAACGAGTCACTCAAACAAAGTTTGGAATTGCGAGATATATTGGGATACCTTGATTCTTGAGACAGTTGAATGCTTCTAGTTGATCTTGTTATATTAAAAAGTCACTCTCAACTAAACTGACCACTGCATTTCTTTTCTAAAAAGGTCATTTGACTGGCTTTTCCTCACAACTGCCACCCATTCAGTGCAAACGCAGGAAATCCCTTTTTATGAAAGGTATAAGTAAAAGATGACATTGCACATTTTTTGAAAAAAAGAATCCTTCATGGGAATATGTCCTAATAATCAATTATATGGACAAAGTTTATGCACACAAAATTTCTGCAAAATGAAAATTAGAAATAACCTAAACAGCTAACAACATGGGAATGGTTAAATAAACTGAGTTGCATCCATTAAATGGAATATAATATAGCCATTAAAATTGTTTTTGTAAAATTTTTAATACCATAAGAAAATGTGGCAATTTTGCAATGAAAAAGATCTACTTATAAAACTGTTTACAGTATGATTCCAATTATGTAAAAAAGGTATACAATACATACATAGGCATATATGGGGGTTGCTTTTGAAAGGTGGTTCCTTCTGGGTTGTGATATTATCAGTAACAATTTTTGCTTTTTTATACATTTCTGCATTTTTCAAGTTTTCTGTGATGAGTATATTATTTTACAAAGACTACAAAAACTTTCCTCTGATACACTGGTAATTAGAATGTACTTGGGTATTTTAAACATGTGGGAACAATATTACAGTGCTTCATCTTCTATGACTTTTTTGGAATACATATCACTTTGGCAAAAATTTACATTCCCTGTTTTAAACTTGTTACAACATTTTAATTAAACAGTTAATATTGTCATTAGAGCATTGTTTGCTTCATAACCTAAACAAATACTGGCTTTGAAGTCTAGGTTCTATTTCCTAGAAGATTTAAAATTAGTATCCTTTTAATCTTTTTAAGTAAGGCATACTGCATACATACATTACATGCATGCTTTCTAAACAAAAGATAATTCCAGCTTACAGTTTTCCTATGTAAGGGAAAAAATGGAATTATGGTAGTTTAAAAACAGTCCATAGTCTCATCCATCACAAACATGCTGATAGGCATAAACATGTTTATTAAGTGAAACGTATCCTTTAAAAATAAAAAAGGGAAGGCTGTATATAAATGAAGCTGTGGATTCAACTAGTCAGAATTTATCCTGACTTGCACCAAACCACACAAAATCTTTTTAAAGTCTAGTTAGTGTAGTCTAAATGGACACTCCAGAGTCTGTTCTTGAATTCCATTGCAAGAGCTCCACTTCCTACTTTCAGAAGGGATGGGGATCAAGGTGAGGGTTGTCACATAAGCTAATTTTCAATATATATCAAGTCTTGTGGGGCCTAGGAACAAATACTGTCATTGGTTAGTGTTTAAGTACATGAGTTGACACTTCTCCTCTCTCACACCCCACCTTGCCCTGGCAATTGGGTAGGGGGAGACTGTTTATCCTCCAAGAGAGGACGGCTGGTTCCTCATCTCAGTTTCCGTTCTAAACCACAGAGTGGTCATTGCTGTGAACTCCAGCCAAGATGGTGTGGTTGAGGGAGGAAGCCGAGCGGTCTGAGCCTTCTGTGGGGCCGCTGGGGTTCTCACTGCGTTGGCAGCAGAGGATCTGCCTAAAGGTGGCGCTCATTTCTTTGTCGCAGTAGGAGTAAATGATGGGGTTCATGGCAGAGTTGAATTCAGCAAGGAGAAGGAAGAATTTCTCATAGGCCAGCACGTCGCACTGCGGACAACACACGTCTAGAAGTAACAAAACCAATCCAGGAGTCCAGCAGATGATAAAGGCCCCAAGCACAATGACCACAGTCTTCAGAAGACTCATCATGGTATCCCGATTCCGCCGGGGTCCAGAACTATGCCGAGACATTCTCATAGTCCTCTGGCGAACATAGCCAAAGATGTGAGCATAGAGAACCACCATTACCACAAAGGTCACCAAGTTGAAAATGGCCCAGAAGACTAAGTAAGAGTCGCTGTACAGGGGTGCCATGTTGGAACAATTTTCAATATCACAGATACAGTTCCAGCCCACACTGGGTATAGCACCCATAACGATGGCCATAGTCCAGATGACCACAATGACCACCACTACCCGCAGGTTGCTCATCCGTGTGTGGAGCTGCATGCGGAAAACCGTAATGTGCCTCTCGATTGCAATAGCCAGTAAGTTGGCCACAGATGCCGTCAGGCTGGTGTCAATGAGGCCCTGACGAAGGAGCCATGTGCTAACAGTCAGCCTCCGAGTATTGGGCCCTGTCTTGAACATGAGATAGAAGTAGGCCAACCCAGCAAAGAAGTCTGCAGCAGCCAGATTAGCCATTAGGTAATAAATAGGAAAATGGAAGCGGCGGTTGACATAGATTGCCACCATGACCAGTAGGTTGGCCAACATGATGAAGATACAAACAGTGATTCCAAGTCCCATCACCAGCTTGCTGACTGTGTTCCATTCTGTGGCAAGATGCTTTCCACTTCGGTTATAAAAGAAGGCAATGGATTCGTTGTAGAAGCACTGTGGTTCATTCATGGCTGTGAACTGGGGCTGTGAAATTACAGGGATGGAAGTAGAGATGGCAGCCATGACAGCTCTGTGGTTGTAGATGGTGAATAGGCCCCAGAACTACGGGAGACAAATGTTCTTGTTTGCTGATCAGATCAAGGTCATGCTAGGAGAAGCTGTGTATCTGATGCTGTAGGAGTCAGTCCTGAGAAGTCAGGTACTCAGACAGGTGGATGGGGAGCTTCATAAATCAGATGTCCACCTGGCGTGGCGCCCCCAGCGCCCCTGACTTCTGCGCCCCTTCCTCCATTCATTGGCTCGACAGCCCTCGCTGGCTGCAGGGCCGGGGCTAGGGGGTGGCCTTAGCCTCCCATTCATTATCTCAGCAGCCTCAAAATATATATTTACCAAGCAAAATACATCAGCATGTTGGATTTGGCTTATGGCCGCCATTTTATGAGCTTGCCTACCAGCAAATGCATAGGTAGTCATTGTTCCCAAATCTCAGGTATCATTGTGCTGCTGACACTCAAATTTGAGTTGTAATTATGCAGTATTTTTAATAAAACTTTCTTCTGAAAGCATTCACACATGATATATAAGAAGGCATGGATTGCTTTGCCTATGTAGGGATGTAATAATCAGGATGTATATGCTTACTCGTCTCCACTAAAGAAGCTGTAAATATAGCCAAAACTGTTCCATGATACACATACACAAAAACTTGAGAAATAAAGCTAAAAGTCTTTTGAGAAACAGACACATTCCAGTGTAATAAGACACTGTGCAGATTCCAGGTACCTCTATAGAATGCCAACATTCCTTGATCCACTGTGTGAGTACCAAATTCTGTACTAAATGCTAGCTTGGGGCCCTGAAGTGAGTTAATCTAATTAGACTTCCTCATCTATCACAAAAGCTTCTTAAATTATTTCATGTGCTTCACCAGTAACCTCTACACACCTAAAAGTAAAGACGAGATTTCCAATGAGTTTATATCACTCAACCAGGCTAGTGACCTGCTAAGGCAGCTATCCCAACTCCAATCCATGTTTTAGTCTTGAACCAGGCCTCATGTCTAAGACAGAGAAGAGCAATCCGTATCAGCTTCTATGCAGTCAACAAAAGCGACATATCCACCAGCAGGGTAAATATATTTGTTACCTTAAACTGAACTATATGCTTATGTGGATGTCTCAACATCTAGGATATGACATTTTGAAGATGCGGGACTGTGTTATAATAATAATGATAATAATATATGGACTGAAATGTGTTTGCCCAAAATTTATATGTTGAAAGCCTAAGTCCCAATACTTCAAACTGTGACTGCATGTGCAGATAGGATCTTTAAAGAGGTACTTAAATTAAAACGAGGTCATGAGGGTGGGACCTAATCCAATATGACGGGAATCTTTGTAAGAGGAAGTCTGGACACAGAAACATGTGGTGGGAAAACCGCGTGAAGACACAGGGAGGAGACCGCCATCTACAAACCAACGAGAGGAGCCTCTGAAGAAACCAACCCTGCCAACATTTTGATCTCAGACTTCCAGCCTCCAGAACTGTGAGAAAATAAATTTCTGTTGTTTAAGCCAACCTAGACTGTAGTACTTTATTACATAAGCCTTAGAAAAATAGTAAGAACCATAATATATTAAACATTCATTACATCCCTAGCACTAGGGCAACCATACAACTTTTGGAACCAGACTTTTTTTCTTCCAGTTTCTTCTTCTTGGGGTTCGCCATTGAACAGAATAATTGAAAGAGATTAACAGTCTTTCAGCATGAAAAGCAAAAGAGGATCGTGAGATTTTAATCTAGCCCATGTGATTATCATGTGGACACTATGCCCTGAGGGAAGACCAATGTGGAAACCTCTTTTTCTTTGCCCCTCTTCCTCCCTCCAGAAAGGATCCCCTGGTGCCATCCAGCAGGAAACAGAGCCAAGGGTGGCTGCAGGCTGGCACCCTTGGGGATAGGAAGCTGAAGGAGATAGAAAGATCAAGTAGCTGCAGGGAAGGAGGAAAACAGACAGGAGGTCCAAAAAAAAAAAGAGGCTGTGTGCCAAGCCAGAGGACAGCCAAGTAGGCACTATACAGTTGAGAAATAAGCACTACAAGAAGCCAGAAAAATGTCCAGTGGAGCAGGGTAGTGAGGCCCAATATCAACAAAGTCTTGCACAAATACATTTGAAGTATGGTTACTAGAAATGGATGACCTCTTGCTCAAGGCTCAGAGCACCGGGAATGCAGCGAAATAATGTCAGGCTCCATAAGCAGCATCTACCATCAAAACCTCCAGCCAGACTCTTAGCATGTGTGCTGTGTGGAATGGAATGTGGGTCCTACACCTGTGCTGTTTGCTTTTTTTCAGACAAATGTGCAAACTGATAACAAGACCATCTGCTTCTTCATCCTTAGATATAAAAGATGCCTACACATGCAGCAAACTTATCATTTTCCTCCCTGTAACTGCTTGTCTGATTGCATAAATATGTTAGTACAGTTCCATTTAATAGTTATTGCTTTAAAATTTTCTAATCCTCAGCTTTGTTTATAAATTCTTAACTTCCCAAGAATGCAAAAGTATCAAGTTAATTTCTTCAATTACAATATCAACAATAACAATACTGCTTCCTTAGAATTGAAATCCAAATTTCTGTCTTTCCATGATGCTGCTTTAAGGAATGATAGGACATAATATTTGAAAGTTACGAATGCAACTAGATAAACAAGGACGAATCGGGATTTCTGACAAGGCAGTGTGACCTGCGACATAAAGCCTTGTTGTCACCTCCCTTGCTTCACACTTCCAACTCTGGTTTTTCTTGCTTGGGTCTGCCCCAATTCTACCAACAATTCCTGAGATTCTGAACCAATGTGGCTTCAGTTGCCAGCACAGCCGATGTCTTTGACCTTCTGCTCATCTTCAACCAATGAATATTGGTTAAATAAATCCTCTTTCCTATTAGTTTGATCGATAGTATAGTGGAATATTTCAAAAAGGGATCTTAAGAAATCAGGAATAAAGAACACAAAAAATAGACCCTCAAACATTTACAGAAGACACAAGTGTTACCTTAAAGTTTAAGTCTATCATAGACAGATACTGCTGGTGCACAATATCTATTTTACCGATTTTATCCTCCACCTTGTCTACCAAGAAGTCTGAGTGCAGAAAAAAAGATGGTACTAGAGTCCTGTACACTGTCCCAGCCAAGCTAGCTGTGGCTGAGGTTTGGTTAAATCAGGTGAAGAAATTACATGGTTTTATATTTTTTGTCCTTCTTCTTTAGTTTCCAAGCTAATATTACTTTGAAAATACATGCAATTTTACCTTTGTTAAAATAAAGGAGAAAGGGGCCCTTGGCACATATAATAAAACCAGTAGGAACCCTCTAGAGCCATGTTCTCTAAAATGGAACCATTTACCTCAGGGGGTAATGTAGAAAGAAAACATTAGGACTTTTATGTTTTGTCTTACTCTTTAAAAAAGTTTTAGCTTTTACTTATGTTTTAAAATATATACAATATGCAATATGGTAGAATATGTACACAATGTCTAAAAAACACCTATATATTGGGGTGCCTGATCAAAAATTGCTCATTGAGGAGAATGATGAATAGGGTTTGGAGACCACTACCTCAGATGATTAACTCCGTGGTGGCAATTTCCATGGAAGGTTGAGATCTGGGAAAAAGCTGGTGGAGATAGACCAGAAGGTACACACAGAGGCAGTCAAAAGGCCTAATATACTGATCACTCCCTGTCTAATGTTTTCCTTATAACCACAATTTGTGCCTTCTGTTAAGTGCACAGGCTTTGTAATCAGACAGACTCTGCCTCCTTTACTTTCTTTCTGCGTGAACTTAGGGCAATATCTTCCACTATTTAAGTCTCGATTTTGTTTCTATAAAATGGAATTAGTAGTGTCTAAATTATATGGGTTATTATAAAGACTAAATAAGATCATAGAGATAAAAGGACTTAACATATTACCTGACAAGTAGTAAGCTCACAACAAACAATAGCTATTGTTATTTCTATTTGATCCTTACTTTAAAGACCCCTAAACCCAAAGATCTAGGCAAAGAAAATTCCAAAATTTTTGCTTGTGGCTTATGGGTGGTGATTTCTTACTCCTTAAGTAAGAGTAAAGGACTTGCCAGGTATTGTTCTGTCTTCACACGTATTCACCATTAAATCCCTGTGAGCTAGATAATATTACTTCTTCTTTTAACTTATCACAAAACTAAAGCACAAAGAAGTTGAGCAGTAACTTACCCAAGATTATGCAGTTTACAACCCAGGAAATCTAGCCCCAGAGCCTGTGTTTACCTGCTAGCCAAGGGTCTCTCAACCTGAGCATTATTGACATTTGGGGCCAGATAATTCTTTGTTATGGGGGCTGTTCTGTTCTTTGTGGGGCAGTTAGCAATCTCCCTGCCCCCTGCCCACTAGATGCCAATAGCACCTCCCCCTCAGTCTTGGCAATCAAAAATGCCTCCAGACGTGGCCCCCCCTTGGGGGCAAAATTATCTCAAGTTGAGAACCAGTGTTGCACATCAACCAACCCTCTTTATTGCTTTAAAAATTGTTTTTGTCCTTAATCTTGAGTTAGGTAATACTGTTTTCCTCATTTTATGACAAAACTAACACACCAAGTTAATTCTTATTCTTAACTGTGTCTATAGTGCAGAGTCATGCAAAAGTTTTTAAAATCCCTGATGCTCAGCCTGCATTCCAGGTCACTTGGATCAGGATCCCTGGAGCAGAAGGGGGCATGCAGGCCTCTGTGCATTTTGAAGCTCGTCAGGCAATTCCACTGTGCAGCCAATGACAGCTCTACTCACTCTTTTAAGAATCAATTCACGGAACTATGTACTCGTTATGTACTTAGGAGTCCAACTCTGTAATTACAGGGCACTTGTACTGTCCCCACTTTCCTGAGTCTTTTCCACCAAAGGCTCACACTCTATGTCCCCCTCTCAGGCCATGCCTTGAGCATTTCCTTTCTCCACCACACATTCCTTGTCTGTATCTGCCTCCCTGTTTTTTCATGGCGGTCCTTCTGTAAAGCTCTTCTGTTGTTTTTGTCCTGTCCCTGGACTCAATCACCATCAACTTTCATCTGGCTTCAGCTGAAGTCAGCTTAGACATACCCTTTTGGAAACTAGCCTCAATGCACCATCATTTTCTGTACCACCCACTATTAGTCCATTTTCACACTGCTAGAAAGACATACCTGAGACTGGGTAATTTATAAAGAAAGGATATTTAATTGACTCATAGTTCTGCATGACTGGGGAGGCCTCAGGAAACTTACAATCATGGTGGAAGGGGAAGCAGGCACATC